GGGTGTTGGAGCAACAGCAACCTAGCTGAGAGGAATTACTAAGAGGCAGAAGAAGGGCAAGTGTGATGGTGGGAAAGGAGGAGGGTAAAAGGAAACAAGAGGAAAGATGTAGGAAGCAAAGCTATGGATAGAGGTGTAAACATAGGTGTGCACTTACGTAATTACTGTAAAAGTCATGTATAAGCCGAGGTTTTCAGCACATTTTCAATGCAATTTTTGAGGTAAAATTAGGTACCTCGGCTGATATTCAGGTAGGCTTACACTCGAGTATATAGGTAATTCATAAAAATAGAGGTATTGGCATAAGCACATATATTTATATGGCAATACATTGAGGATGTGGGCAGACTTTGGATCTCTGCTCAAGCCTTCCTCAGTGCAAGAACACTTTGTTCTAAAGACCTAGCATTCTGTGATACTCACCCTCCAGACACAATCCCTGAAGATATAATGGGTGCACAAGCACTTGTGAAGAAAGCTGATGGTGCCCGGCTATCAAAGGATATAATGTCTAGGGTATTAAAGACTTGAAGTTAAACAAGTGGCCATTTAGCATAAAAGCAACAAGCCCACATGGAAGAAGCAAGCCAGTCTGTGTGATCATGAGGTGTCAGCAAGATCAGGTAACAGGCATCCAAAAACCCCAAACCCATCTCTAGACATTAGGAAATCCCATCACAGAAGAGTCACTAGAAAGGGAGGGGTCAACCAGGGTGAAGTATAGCACTGGTAAAACACACAATATTCCTCTGATTCTTTGAAGCTTCCTCATCCCCCAGGATCATGACCCCAGTCCTACACTTCTTTCCTGGCTAGACGGGAGCATGTACAATGGTACAGATAAGAGCTCATGGCACATGGAATCCAGGTCAGACAAATCCTCCAGGCCGGCTCCTCTGACCTCTCCGAAACACTTACTTGCTATTTGAGCCCTTGGTTTCAGCTCGTTTTTTTCCACCCTTCCCCCACCCTCCCACTGTTGTGAACTCTTGATAAATTATTATTATTTTCATATCTTACACGTCTCAATTTTCAGCCACACACAACAGGCCAATAAGGGAAGCAGTAACACTAGGAAGGTATGCACTCCTCAGAATCATCAACCATTTGAGATCAAAAGGGCAGAATTGCCCAGGGACTAAGTTCAGCAGGATTAGGGAAGACAGAGGAATGGGAACGGGGATGGGGGATGTAGGGAAGCAAGAGGAGGAGTGATGAGACCTTGGGGGGACTGCAATCAATGACATGAAATGTGTGCACACTGTCAAATGGGAAATTGGTTTGCTCTGTAAATCTTCCAAGTCATTCCCAAAAAAGTTTTAAAATAAGTACGTAACAAATCCACTGCCATAGAGTTGATTCTGACTCATAGCGCCTGTCTTACTTGGCTGAAAATTGAGCCATGGAAATGAGCTCATTTCCAGCCCTTAGGGGTGACCAAAGTTCATAGTCTCAAGATTCAAACTGGTAAACCTGGGGTCTTTTAAATGATTTTGAGTTTTGCTTCACATGTTTCTTCTTCTTTATCCAGGACCTTCGAACTTCTTTCAGATTAAGTGCCAACTGGTCATGGTAACTGGCCACCATTTAAGATTTCTGAACCTTTATGGGAGTAAACAGCCTCATCTTCCTCCCGTGGGAATTGAATATTCAAGGGTTTAAACTGACCTTGAGGTGACCAATCCAACACTTCCCCAAATAGGCCACGAGGGCAAGATCAAGTACTAGAAAATAATAACATTAAGCAAAGAGAAGAGAGAACTAGGGCTAAAGCATTAGAGGGCAATTACTGAACCACGAGGCTGATCTTTGCAACAGACGAGAGTTGGGAGCTCAACTCTGGCTGTATATTACAATCCCTGGAAAACTTGTTTTAGAACTACCAAGGTCTCACTCCCAGAAGCTGATTGGATGGTACAGGGTGCAGTTCAAGCATCTGTATTATCAATTCCACAGTGATTGTAATACGTAGTGAGGGCTCCAGAGTTGTTACTAAAGTTCTAATACTAGTTTTGTGCCCGGTGGCATCATCTGCCAAAATGAGTAATACTACCTAAGTGATAATGTTGTTGTGAGGATTAACAGATGAGCTGATGCCCAACACAAAGAGCTCAGTCACGGCCGTTGTCAGGGAAGGAAAGAGTGCAGCTTTCCTTAAGATTCAGACCCAAGTCTGCTGTCCCACAGTTATCAATGTGTTCCGCCTTTTGGAACGTTCAATCTCTGCCTTTATTATTTTAAGTGACGGCTCATTTAAGTCAGACTGGTGTGCCTGTTACAGTTTTTCCTGGAGAAACAATACAGTTTTAATAGGATAAAACAGGAAAAGCTCCACCCAAGGAGAGTCTTTTCATACTGAACTTACCACCTGATAAGGACAGGGTCTCCCACATGGCAGCCTCTTTTTTATACAAGGTAAAAACAATAGCATCATCCCCAATCTTGGCTTTGCTGCTCTCCTCATCTATGGGAGCATAGAGAAACGCCTCAAATAAAAACGGGGGGTGGTTGACCTATTCAGAGACGGGGGAAGGAGAGAAGTTAATGCAGTTACATACAGGAAAAATCCACACAAGAAATACACGATCAAGAGGCGAAAACATTTTTTCTTAAATGTCCACTAAATTTATTACAGATCATGAAAAAAAAACAACCCAGGCGTATGAGGACGCTCTTGAAATTGTCAAGGGGGCATGGGGAAGGGAGGGAGGGTGGAAAATGAAGTGCTGATGCCAGGGGCTCAAGTAGAGGTTGTGGGAGGCCTGCTACGGTGGGATCTAGGGTAATGTAACCAAGAGAAATTACTTAAACCCAAATACTGGAAAGGTGGAGGAGGGTGGGTTGGAAGGGGAGAACCGATTACAAGGATCTACATGTGACCTCCT